TTTATGGAAGGAATCTTAGAGGCCTCTTAACCAGGATAGCATTCCTGTCTTCCAAGCCCTTATGCGGTTGCCCAGTTCCTACTGGAACTTCCCCGGTGGTGAGAAACTACCTTATCAGTTATCTGTTGCTGAATAACAAATTACACCAAAACTTCCTGGCTGGAAAAAACAATCATTATTTACTCATGATTCTCTGGGTTGGCAATTCAGGCTGCGTTCACTTGGAATAGCTCCTCTCAGCTACACATGGTGCCAACTGAATTCACTTACTTACGCGTTTTGCCTCAGCAGCTGGAATTTTTCCACATGCTTTAATTTACCAAGAGACCAACCTAAGCTTTTTAAATGGTGGCAAAAACTTCTCAGCACCAAGCCCCAATGTACAGGCGCTTTTCAATCCTCTGCTCATATCACTTTTGCTAATGTCCCTTTGGTCAAACAAGTCACCTGACTAAGCTCAGGGTCGTTGTGGGAGGAAACTACACAAATGCATGGACACTGCGAGGAATGCTGTGCCAGTCTACCCTACTCACATCTGCCTGAGATTACTTCCGTTTCAGACACACATAATTGTTAGAGAGTGAGAATTTATCTCCTGAGTGGAAATCCAAGGATCCAGCTCCCATAGGATGGTCAACTGCATTGATTTTCACCATTTTATATAGGGAACTTGGGCATCCATGGATTTTGTTATTGCAGGTGTCCTGGAACCAGTCCTCCATGGATACCAATGGTAGTTAACTTTTGGGGGAGTCCAAAGTTATACACCGATTTTCAAACAACCTTTGCATTGTTTAAGGGTCAACTATAATTTGCCAAAGGTCACACAGCTGGGAGGTGGGGGAGCTGGGATTCAAATCTGGCAGTTCAATATCAGAGTCTTACTTTCAACCACTCTTTTTACATTCCCTCTAGATGCAGGGGTTGTCACTTGGAGACCATTTGTCACCCCTTAGTTTCATCCGCAGAAGCCCCAGGGGACTTGATGTCATCGAATGGCTCCACTTCTTCCTGAGCAGGCAATCATGCTATGACTCTTCTTGTTGCAGGTGCAGTGGGAGTGCATCAACCCCAAGTACAAAGCCAAGAAGAAGAATTATAAGAACTCAGGCATTGTGATTTTGAATCAATGCAAGGTATGTACATAGTCTGTCTTTCAGGAGTATGAAACCAGGGCTGTTCAGGTTGTGTGGTCAGAGGGAGAGAGTGTCAAAGCGATGTCATCTTTTTTAAAACAAAAATCAGAAAATCACTGTATTAATGGACATACAATGAGAAATGTATGTATGGGTGGTCTTGGAGCTATGGTAGACCAATGCCACCATCCCCTCCACAAGGATAGTCCTACCCCCAAGTTTAGGATAGTCCTGGTCAAAAGTCAGGCTCTTCTCTGCCCACAGCAGCAGCAGAGGGAGATCCCCAAAGGGGACAATCAACCTTTCCAAAGCACCTACTATGTGCCTATCACAGTTTCAGTGGTTTATATGTGGCACCTCATTCATGCTGAAAGGGTCCCATGAAAACAAGACAATAGGAGATTGGAGGGCCTAGAAGTTCCTCCAAGAGGGGCTCTAACTTCACAGAAAAATCCGTGTGCTAATAAGTAAACCCCTTAAATTGCATCCGAGAATAATTCTGCCACTGATTGAGTACTTACTATGCAAGAGTAACTACAATAAATTCTATTTACTCTATCACAACCCTGAGATTTTCACCTTCAAATGAGATCATTCACAAGCGGTAAGTTTAAGAGCTGAGATTTTAATCTATGTCTTTCTGATTCACCTTATAGGACTTAAGTGCCATCTATTTTCTCTATATATATGTCAGGTACCTTCTCCCAGACTGGCTTCTCCATAGCTGCCAGGAGCTGTAGGAGCACATCCTTACATAACAAGAGAGCAGAGGAAAAGACTGATTGGTCTGGTGTGGGTCACATGCCCACTCTTGAATCAATCACTGGGACCAGGGGATAATGTATTGTGATTGGCCATCTGGGGTCATTGTTTCAATCGTGTCTTTTTATTTTTTATTTTATGATGCTTTGACATCTGGGGGCCTTGTAGACCCCAGGAGGGGCTGCCCCTCCCAGAGTTGACTAATTCCTAGATGTAGCAATCCATTTGCCTGGAAGCCTGCCTTTAATATGCAGACCAACCCATCCAGAGCCTATACCCCCAACCACCTCCTTTACTTCCACACGCCAAAGCTTACTAAGACAGTTTCCTTCCCTCCTCCTTCGCAGATCCACAAGATGCATTCTTTCTTGGACTACATCATGGGTGGCTGCCAAATCCAGTTTACAGTAAGTGGTCTCTTTGTTCTTATTTAGGGAGCACGGTTGGGGAATGGTGCTGGGTTTGGGGCATGAGGAGACAAAAGTCTATTAAAACACTAGGTCAGCTTTGTTCAAATCTCATTGCTGAAATACTGTATGGTCACATGTTTTTAAAATAAGTTCATACTTCTGTTTTTTTCCAGTGAGTATGGTTTTCAGCATCATGTCAGGAAATTCATGCCACTCAACCTCAGGTGCTTTGGGGAACCATGCTAATGCTCCTCACTCTTTCAGTAGCTACATGGGGCATGAGGCAGTAGGCACAGTGCCAGAGCCCATCACCTGGTGAGAAGGGTGGGAAGGAAGTGAGCCTGGTAGTGAGTCCTACTGACTCAGGCAGGTGCCTTTATTGTATTCATGTGGCCAGAACACAAGCGCCAATGTCATGCCCAATGACAATAAAAAGGTGAATTCCAGAACATTGGAAAACCAATCTTTCAAAGTTGAGAAATAGTGTGAGTGTCTAGACTCAGTGGGTGGATAGAGGCTCATCTCCTACATGTAATATCTGAGCCCATGGGATTTACACACTCCTAAATATGCATTCGGGTGGGTGGACTGGGTCTTTTTAACATTCCCAAGTAGGCAAAGTTTGTGAGTCCATCTGCTCTGGAAAAACTTGTTCTTAGGTTTGGGCAGATGTGGCCTCCAGAAAGAGAGTCCCCAGATGTCAAAAGACAGCTCTGCTAAAACCTATGGGAAAACAACATTGGATGTAAACAAGAGAAATACAATCTGTGCAGTGTTTGTTCTTCATATTGCAGAAGTATACTCATGAAGCTCAGCCCTGCTTAGCTCCCTAGACTGGCTCAATCATGTGAGGAAGGCAAGAAAAATGGGTTTATTTTTTTTGTCCTGGTTTGAGCCCAAGACAGTAGATAGGATAGGACCAATGTATTTTTGTGACCAGGAATGGTGGTACTCAAAGGACTAAAAGGGAGAGTCTCGGGGGCATGAGATAAGGGGTCTTTTGATAGGTCAGCCTCTCCCGAGCTAGAGCTTGTCCTTTGCTATAGTCTCAGATGGTTCTACCTATGTCCTGTCTGAACTCAGGGGCATTGTTCATTTACCCCTTAATAGTTACAGGAGCTAATTATAGAATTTGGTCATTTCTTTAAGGTCTAAAGACACACTCACCCAGCCCTCCTACATGCACACTGGCATATCAGAAGGTAGCGAACATGTTCTCTGGGACACACACATCTAACTCTAGCTGTCCTGTGGGTTCATTGTCACTCTGAGTGTATACAAATGAAGTAGGAAAACCAGCAATGTCATAAAGGAGAGATACTGGAAGTAGTGTCCCAAGATCTTAGGCAAAGGAGTGATTTCAGGAAACTATTTATAGGTTTTCAAGGGAAAGCTCTATTGACTTGAGTTTGTTTTAGATTCTATAGATCCCATGCTCTTGAGCAATACTTTATTCAACCTTCAGGGCCTTGCTTTGCCCTTGAAGTTGTGCTGCAAAGAATCAGCCCCCATAAAACCCAGAAGTTTAACCCCGCATCGTCCCCAGGTCAGCATCCTAACTTATAGAGGCCTGTACAGCATTCCTGACCCAGAAGGATTGCCCTCTCAGCTTTGATCTCCTCTCTTTCTCACTTTTGTTGATGCTCCCCAATTGGGAGGTACCACCTTAGTGGGCCTTAACACCCCCTCCTGAGTCCCAGCTTCTCAGCCCCTCCCGTGTCAACTGATGGACCTTTGGGGGTCTGGAGTGAGTCTGGAGCTAGGAATGAGAAAAAGAGAATGTACAGATAAATGCTGAGAAGGCGACAGGCCACCATCACTGTCTGCCACAAAACCCTTCCCCCCGTGGGGTTTCAGGCTGGGGCCTCAGAAGGTTGTGACGTGCTCTGTTTTGAGCTTTCTACTAAAGAACACATGCCAGTCACTTTTATGTCACTTTCTTCCAAAATTAAGTCAGCTTTCTTATTAATTTCTTATTGCTCAGGCAGTACAATCTAATGTGAAATGTAACTGTAATGCAAACTATTAATAAAAATTAGCATGTCTTATTTAATCTGGTCCGTAAGTGCTTATTATCTGTCCGATAATTTTCTTGAGACCATCTGGCAACATAAAAAGGAAAGTGGCAGAGGGATGAGAAATGAGAAGAGGGCTTCCTGGCATGGAGATCTGCAGAGCAGAGAGAGGGGAAAAAAGATGTCTTGTTGCAGTCAGAAACTCCCATTGGCACAGAAATTAATAAAGCCCAGGAATGTTAGCCAAGATGAACTTTGTGCCTCCCTGGAGACAGACCTCCAGGAGCCAGCAGTGAAATAAAGTTCTGGATGTTACCTCCACTCTTGAGTCTCCACCTCTCCCCAGCGCCCCAGGAGGACTTCCTCTTTGGATGTACTAGCCAGGCTCTCCTGCTCGTGGGTTTTGGTTGGCTTTGACCAATGGGAAGAAGCAACTAGGGATCAAAGAAAGAGAGAGGTGAAGTTGGGACACCCAGCTCTGCCTGCCAAGCTGTGGCTTGGCAGTGACCATGAGCCTCTATGGAAGGTCACAGTTCCTGTCCAGTGCCTTGTCCTACAGACAGTACTCTTACTAAGTTCTAGTAACTGCTTCTTCCCACCCTATCTAGTCAGTCCCCCTTAACCTTTTTGAATGGTCTTTCATTAAACTTGCCCTGGTCATCTTTTCTGAGTGGGCCATTTGTTTCCCGTCAAGACTTTCACCGATGCACATTACAAATAGGGGCAAGGAGAAAGTATTTGCACTTTCCACAGATGCCTGGTGCTTCTGGTTCAACCCTCACCTTTCCTTCAGGTGCCAGGCTGACATATATTAGGTGCTAAAAATACTTTTGTTGAATTATAATGGATTGAACCCAAAATCTTCAAGAAGAGTAAGGCTTAGGGGAAAGAAAGAATTGGATGAATGAATATGACACTAAGTTTTTGCTTTAAAAGTGCTTTTTAATGTTTATACCTCTACATATTCCAATGATAAATACTGAAACCCTAATATGAATCAGCAGGGCATATTTAAGGGAGTGTTGGGGAAGTGGTTTGGAGTAAGAACTTGAAGGGCTTTGAGTTTTGATGTAATATGCTGGATAAGGAAATGTTCAAGAGGCTGTTGGGCAGGACATTGAAGCAATCAGCCACATGCTTCAGGGAAATAAATCTGGGAGTGTTTGGTGAAAGGCACTGAGAAAAGCAACGGAGAATGATGAGCCCAGGAGGACTCTAGTCTTTTGTGCCTGGCTAACTAAGCATGACGGTCCTACTCGTGGAAATCTGGGGCGCTCAAGAGGAGCTGCAGGACAAGATGATGAATCTGTCTGTGGACATGTTGGAAGTACTTTCAGATGTCCCAGTGGAGTTGGCACTTTATAAATATGGACCTAGGTTTCAAGAGAGAGGTGGAAGCTGCACATATATGGGTCTGGATGAGATGGTCAAAGATAAGACTACAGAAAGCAAAGGGGCCTGGTGACAGAAAGTTATAGAAGACCTACATTTGGTAGCAAAGGAAAGAGGGGCAAGCAGCAAGAGAAGAGATGCCAGAAGAAAAGGCCCAGGAGGAGGCACTAACCCAAATGACCAGGAGAAAAAGTTACAAGATCAAGGAAGATAATCCCATAATCTAAAGAGAAGTCAGAGAGCAAAGAGTGAAAACCAGTGACAGGCTTATGTGATGAGTAGGCACACGTCATCTTCAAAAGAGCCATTTCAGCCCTGCCGGGCATGGCTCAGCGGTTGAGCATCAACCTAGGATCCAGGCGATCAGGGTTCGATTCTCGGTCAGGGCACATGCCCAGTTGTGGGCTTGATTAATGACTCTCTCATTATTGATGTTTCTATCTCTCTCGCTCCCTCTCCTTTCCTCTCTCTGAAATCAATAAAGATATATTTTTAAAAAAAAGAGCCATTTCAGCAGAATGCGACAGGAGAGACCCAGAAGTTAGGGTATAATTAGAAAGTAAGGAAGTAAACACAGCAGGATGTACCCATTGACTCAACAAGGTTGACAGTGAAGGGAAAGCGAGAGTGGGAAAAGAGAATGGCAACTTGAGGATTAACAGAGGGGAGGTTTTAGGCTAGAATTTGACCATAGCAGAGGACAAGGCCCAGTGGAGAAAAGGAGACACATGATGCTAAAAAACAGCCCTAGTCAACAATTCTTTATCTTCTTTGGTCACCTGGACCACTTAGGAATCTGATACAAGATCTATATCGTCTCACTGGAAAATGCACACATTCAATTCTGCATGCTATTTTGGGAGGTCAAGGGCATCCCTGAGGACAATCCGTGTTCCTCCCATGAGTCCTAGAGTCATAAGAACTCTAGGGCAACTGTCTCCTCGCAGTCTTGGAGGAGGTGGGCACAGGTGAAACAGACTACAGGAAGAGCGGTTGAGTTCAGTATATTTGGTGCATGGCACAGCAGCTAAAAATAAAGCTAGATACTAGAATTTCACACACAAAATACAAAATTTTAGACAGCACAGATGAGACAGACACCAGAAGGTATTTGGAAAGAAAATGGTAGAAGAATTAAGTGTTTCCTTGGGAAGTTATTGCTTTTCCAGATGCACAAAAATTTATTCATTGTAAAGCAGATTTTCACAGATACAAGTTGTAAGCAACCTATATGTCTGACAATAAGATCATGGCCATGTAAATCACAGTACCTCCTTTAGGTGAACTATGACAAAGCCATTTTAAATGATAATTATGATGATTGGAAATAACATGGGAACATGTTTCTGACAGTGTTAAGTGAAAAAAAGAATATAAAGCAGAGCCACCCTATGATTACAATTATGTAAAGTGTTTAAAACATTTGTCCCTATATAGACAATAACTAGAAAGGAAATATGACTTACTAGGCTAGTGGAATCTTTGAGGGACAAAGATTGTCCTCAGGGTGCCCTTGACCTCCCAAAATTGTGCATAAAATTGAGTGTGTGATTTTCCAGTGAGAGAATATAGATCTTGCATCAGATTTTCAAGTGGTTCACATGAACCTCCCCCAAATCATTTTTTCTTATTATTCTCAAATGGCCATTCTCATTATTTGTAACTTTTCAAAATTAAGATGGTATTACTTTCTTTTATCTCTGATTTTATAGTCTGCATTTTAATTATATAATATGATATAGTATTTAAGCTCAGTGTGGCTTCTTCCAGATTAACCTTGAAGCCTAAAAAAAGGTCACCTGTTAAAGGTTCTCTGGGGAAATCTTTTCTAACCCTGAAATATTTAAGGCATCCTATGTCCATGCTGTGTCCCAGTTTAAGTTTTAAATCTTTATTTTATATCCCAGATTAAACACTGACAGACTCCGGTGTAGACCTCTGAGAAATAAGAGCGAGCCCTGGGTTGAAGAGGGAGGGGAATGCTTTGCGGTTTCCAGGAAATAACCTCAGGGGCCTTTTCCATCTAGTCTAGGTTCCAATTTCTTTGCCTGCTATGGAGTTTTGAGAAAATATAAAAGCATAAGAATTTAAACTATCATTTAAGAACTGGTCCAAACTAAACAGTATCTTCACTTACAGGCTCATTGTATAGGTGCAAACTGTGTTCAAATAAAAAAAAAAAGCTACCCCAGCAGGTGCTAATGCAAAGGTTGACTGCGGGTTGACTGCAGAGAGATTAGCAGCTGCTGAGGTTGGTTCACCACAGTTTCCCTTAGAAAACATCCAGGAGGGTCCCCCATGGCCCATATGTCACAGGCGGAGAAGGGCTCTGAGTGGGTTCATTTCATGAAGAAACTAAAAATGTCCAAGGACAAAGTCTCATCTTTCATTTCCAGCCTTCTCTGGAAAGCAGCTCCTCCGCGCACTGGGGGCTTGTTGGCAGCGAGGAGGCATTTGCATCCTTACCCTGCCAGGCTTGCCAACTGCTCCTCAGCTCTGCCTAATGAGAGGGGGCGTCCTGGGCAGAAGGAGCGCCATGGGTGGGCTCCTGCTCCCGGGCTGCCAGCTGAGAAGACTGGAGCGCATACCAGCACCATAGGCTTTTGGAAATAAATGTTTCATATCAGAAAATGAAAACACGGTGGCTCTGCGAGCTCACTCCATTCAGGACACCGGGAATCAGTAGCCGCCTCCACAAACTGGCATTTTTCGGTCATTTGTGTGCTTTTATTTCTCAACTTCATCCCATCCTTAAGGGTCTCCCTGTTGCTTTTTAAAATAAACCTCACCTTTCACTCTGTTCTCTTTTCACTAACGCTAACTCTAAAGAGCACAGAAATTCTTGGTAGAAAGCCACCTCCTGGAGAAAGATACTTTACCTCCCGCTCCATCAGGGAGACTTCAGAAACCGCCGCTTGCCAGGGGGAAAGTCTTCAGCTGCCCTATACTTAAGACTGTCCACTGCTGACTAGTCAAATGATAAAATATTGTTATGAGCGACGGGAACTACAGAAAGGGGTGGGTGGGAAGGATCACTGGTTTATTTCTTTATTCCTCAGGTAATTTTTAAGTTTATACCCCTTCCCCAAAGCTTTCTCAGAACTCCTGAGCTGGAAGAGCCTCTGTGATGGTCAGACACGGGGGGCCATCCCCATGGGAAAAGTGGAAACCAGAGGCCCACCTGCAGAAAAAGAGTAAAATTCCCATCAGGCTTGTTGTATGTCTAGTCAGCACCACCAGGGACAGGCCGCCAGTGCCAACCTCCTATCACTGATCTTCAGGTTGTTCCACTATCCTTAAAATGTCGTCTCCCCCCAAAAACCTGCCTGCTCCCCCTCCCTAGCTGACATCCAATTCCACATGTAATGTCACCAAATCCTGTTCACTTTCTGTCCTCAACATCTTCCATCACAGTCCCCTTCTCACTCTCATTGCTGCCCCACCCTAGTTTGTTAGACGCAAGGGCATGACCCCGAGCAGACGAAGAGTTGATAGAAATGAAACGACGTAGCAGGGCAGGCAAGGGTGAGGCAAGAGAGGTGCTGAGGATGCAAAATGTAAGGATGCACTTGCTCCCAAGATCGTGCAAATGTAGGGTCAGCTGGGAATAAGTGCCTTCCGGAGTTATGTCCTAGTCACCTCTCCTGCCTGGCCCTAGTTCCAGCCCCACATTTGTCTGTTTGTTTTGAAAAAACATATTGTTGCCAAAAACCTATGTATGCTCATCTAGACATTCTCCCAATGCCACAGCTTGCTCATCCAGGTGAGGTGCCTGGGCCCAGATGCTGCCACTTGGTGCTTGCGTGCTTGGAGGATCTTGTCCGTACCTGAGGAGGAAAGAAGGACAATGACATCTCTTGAGTTGTCATTTTTTATGGAAGTTTCCCCCCTGGTCTTTACATTATCTGATTTCATTCTTTGGTTTTATATCAAGACACCAGCATGTTTCTGCCATCACAAGATACCCCTTGACATTGAGTCAGGTAATCAGCACATGGGACAGTGGGCAACTGCAGTGTGGAGAAGCACAGGTAAAGGAGTGTGGGGACCCATGGCGAAGGGCCCCCCTCATAATAAGGCGTGAGGTGAGCCATAGACTCCCATTCACAAAGTCCCCACACCCGCCAATGATTTGCATTTTAGATCAGTTGGAGCAGAAATCAGGTTATCTCCATAACCACATTCTTTAGGATTCTCTAGCATTCCAATGTTTTCTTCAATAAAAAAGAGAGGTGGCTTTACACCTGGCCTTCCCAGAACTGTTTTTACCTTTGAAACACTATGTGCACACGTGCGAGGTGCCATTATCACTTAAGTGTGTCTCATCAGGACAAAAAAGCTGAGGATGGCAGCCCTGCATGTTGGAGCTTAGTAAACCCAGGAGACCTCTGGGGGTATGATTTCTTCAAACACTGACTCTCAAGCACCTCTTGAGTGTGCCTCTTGCAGTCTTCTAGGAATCATCTGCTCACATTTGGACCTCTGTGCTGACGTGGTTATAATAGACCGCATCTTTAACACACAATTTGATTTTAAGGAATTTTTACCTATGGCTCAGAGACGGCATTGCCCTACCCAGAGTCCTTTCTTAGGGAATTAGGATTTCTGCCCTTGCTGCCTGGTGACACAGATCATCAGCTGCTGGACTTTCTGACCAATCTCAAGTTCTGTTTTGGAAAGGGAAAAGAGAGGGCATTGGGGGGTGGGGGGTTGAAGACAACAGAAATGGCTTCAACCTTCCTATTAAGCTAATTAATTTCTTCTCTAACTCTCCTCATTGGCAGGGTATGTAACAAGCTGCTTTTTTCCGTCTCAGGCCATGTCTCTCTGTGGCTGATCCTAATTCCTAGGAGATGCATTCACTTTAAATCTACCCGTTCTCCTATTTTCTCTTCCAGGTAGCTATAGACTTCACTGCCTCAAACGGGGACCCCAGGAACAGCTGTTCCCTGCACTACATCCACCCTTACCAGCCCAACGAGTACCTGAAGGCCTTGGTGGCTGTGGGGGAGATTTGCCAAGACTATGACAGGTACCAGACTCTCGGTTGGCTCAGGCCTTATCTTCTCTCTGTGAATTCCGATGGCTCCTGGCTGATCCTTGGTAGAAGAATGGAGATTAAGTCTAGCAACTCATCACGCGGAGGCTTGTGCAGGGACAGAAATTATAAAACCTCGCCCCAAAACCTAGAGAAACTGAGTCCGTGCCATGTTTTCCTTAGTCATAAAAAATGTTTCTTTCTCAGATTCCTTGAATTGGCTTGCAAGACCACTGGATAGCAATTTTGGTTTCCCAGAGTTTTAGTATATGCCTTGCTCCTCAAAGTTTGGTCCATGATCTAGCAACATCACCTGGGAATTTAGAATCTCAAGCCCCATTCCAGACCTCTGAATCAGAATCTGCATTTTAATAAGATAACAAGATGATCTGAGTGTACTTTAGAGCTTGAGAAGCACTAGTTTATTGGACATTATTGCATCTAATCCTCATATTAACCCCTATGTCATAGGGGTTACTTAACAGAGAAGGAAAATTGTGCAGGGAGGTTGAGTAATTGTGCACTGTCACACAGCCAGAGGCAGGACTTGAACCCAGATCTATCTCATTCCATAGCTGAAGCTCACAATCGCTGTATTTCACTGACCTCAAAAGATATTGGTAACTTTAGCAGTGGTTACGTGTCTGCCCACATGCCCGTATGTGTGCCCGTGTGTGTGTATGTGTGTGTCTGTAGGAAACATTATTTTGAGATAAGTTGAGTAGTATATTCATTTCCACTTGATGGTAAATATTGACCTTTCCCACTACAATAATTCCCTGTAAGAAGTGATTTACATAAATAATATTAAATTGAATTTATTCTGTGCTTCCAGTATTTTCTGATTGAGATGAAGTTGTCCATGTGTTTGTTCAAAAAGGCTTTTTGAGGTAGAACCAATGTAAATATAAATGTGGGTAAATCCCAGTTGACTCCCTGTTGTGATTATAAAACAAACCTACTTAATAATGAGCAGCAACTGACCTTTTAAGCCAGGAAAATAATGAAAGCAAATTCTATCCCCCAACTTCAGAGAAAATTTACAGGATAGCATGATTTCTGTTCTGTCTATTCTCATAACTGGTGATAATCATATTTTTTTAAAAAACCAAAAAACTATTATCACAGTCACCATAGAGAATGATACAACCCAGAAACCACAATGTGCGGAGAAACCAACAGGACAGGTAATAGGACAGGTCCCATTAGTGTCCTTCCTGAGGGTGAGTCTGGATTCGGCACAGTCACTTCCAGTAACTCAGATGGGCGTGAGGGAAGCTGGGCACTGAGTGGATGAGTCCAGTAAAATCAAAGAGCTTTAAACATTTAGACATTTGCCCTCCTAAACATTTAGAACAAAGGGCAACAGCGTTCATATTACTTATTGAAGTGATACTTCTTATATTTAACCTTGAGGTGGTGACTGAGAAAATAACTTGAATTTCGGCTTTGCTTTCCTTAGGCCCAGGACAGGGAGGATTCCTAAAGAGATTCATAGCATATGGAGATTTCTGCCAAAAAGAGAGAGAGAGAGAGAGAGAGAGAAAAGACTGACAAATTGCATCTCCACTGTCAGAAACCTCTTTAAACATCCTCAGAGCACCAAAACAGTAATTCTCACCCTTCTTTCTGTCACACACACACACACACACACACACACACACACACACACACACAATCTAGATCATAATGTGTACTGAAAGACAAGGAGGGAGGGAGGAAATATCTCCTGGAATCTTAGTGACCCTTACATTCTTGAAATGCTTATAAAAGAAATAGAATAGGTGAATGCACTTCATACATGTCATACAATAGGCGCTTAATAATAGAGCTGACTCTGACTCGGCAGGGGAGAAGCTGTATACAAATGACTCCCAAAGAGAAGGTTGGTGGGTTGTCAGAAAAGAAGATGCTGCGAGCCAGCGCCCTCACCGTGGCCAGTGAGGAGGCAGGCTTGCTGGGTGATCTGGAGCAAGCAGCTAAACCTCTCTGTTTCCTGATCGCCTCGCGTGCCAGAGGCAGAGACTCTAATTGGAGTGACCTGTGCATCTTTCAGAGCTGTTATGCCTTTGTACTGTGAGCCAGACAGAGCCTGGGGAGCATCTTGTATTCCTTCAAAATAACAGATTCAGTACAAAAATAAGATATGACACCTTAGGGGTTATGTGAAAAATCGTGATTCTTTTTAAAACCTTAATAGGATAATACTGAAGTTATGGGCCCCAACTGGCCAAGAAAATCAGGTTTCTTCAGCTCAGGGGACCACATATATATATGTATCTATGTGGCAGCTCAGCATAAAAGTGGACAAATATCAGGAATAAAAGAAGGACTGAAAAGCCTGGGCTCTCTTTGCAAAGACCCCCTAGCAGACTGTGTAAAGCAAGCTGCTCTCCTGAAAACTGACAAGTGCCGCGGTTTCTCCTCTGTGTGGGTGGATAAGCAGCAGACAGGCAGAGTCAGGGAATTTCAAGTCGGGGCTTTGGAATCCTTTTTTTCTCACATCAAAGTCAGTGAGGTTGATGCTCAAAAAGAAACACTTGAAAAAAAATTGACAGAAGGCATCGTTCCCCTCCTGCAGCGACACGGAGGTTTTTAATCCCCATGAGCCTTAGAAATTCCTCCCAGCCTCTGACAGCCGGGGGGTTTCCTTCTGCCTCGCACAGTCATTGCTAACAGGTCCTCACGAGGTGATCCGCGAAGTAGAACAGCTTCAGAGATGCATGAGCCCTGCTCAGGGAGGCCTGGAGGGGACGCTCCTCCCAGATTCTGGCCCTCGAGCCCAGGAGGCAGTCCTGCCGGCCTGTTCTCTCTGCGACTCAGCCTCTCCCCTTGACTCCACCTGCACACACAGGCACAGGCACGCATGCACATGCACACACATGCATGAACGTGCACAGACACACACAAACTCATATTCCCAGTTGCTTGTAGCACTTGCCCAGCTCCTGTAAACATTCTCGTCTCCTCAGGTTGCTCAAGGCCCCAGTGGTAGCCATCCCTGGGGCCCACAGAGATGTGCCTTTGTCCACCTGCCCTGTCCTCTAATATGAATGGGAGAGTCTAGCATCAGTTTTAACCCAATTTTTTGTTTTAATTAATATGAACACTAAGAAAACTTGTTCTTATAAATAAGTATCTGGTACTGGAAAGTTTGACTGGCAGTACTTTCAATTCTGAGATATATATCAAAAATCGTATAATGATCTATTATCAAAATATATTTTAAGCAATTTTTTTAAGTTTTTCTTTTTTTAATATGTTTTTGTTGATTTCAGAGAAAGGAAGGGAAAGGGAGAGAGATAGAAACACCAATGATGAGAGAGAGTCATTGATCGGCTGCCTCCTGCACGCCCCCTACTAGTGATCGAGCCTGAAACCCAGGCATGTGCCCTGACAGGGATTCGAATCATGACCTCCTGGCTCATAGGTTGACGCTCAACCACTGAGCCACGCTGGCCGGGCTCTCAACAATTTTTTTAAAGCAAAAGTTGGCAACTACCTGACTTGCAAAAGGATTTGTTTCCTAGTGCATCATCCACATTAAGAATTGTTCCTGTAGAGTTTGTACACCCTGGAACAATGCACCATGAGGGTTAAGATTCAGAATGGGTAAAGGAGAAGGGTAATTGTGAAAGGGAAGGTGTCAGTGGAGGATAGGTCTTTCCATCACAGGTTGCTCCCAGAAGATCAGTTTCAGCAAAGAATATATAGGGAAATCAAGAAACCGAATACTGATTTCCTTAAAAGAAAAAAAAAAGCTCTCATATCCACAGTAGGGCTTTGCATTTCCACATTTCCATCTACCCCAGTTTTAAAACCAATGTTTTAGAGGACAGTCTTTATTAAATGAATGCCATTTTGCTTTGAGTTCATCTCCACTTTCTTGTGGATGCAGTAACTTGTCTTTTCTCTTCATAATCTCTTGCTTTACCTCAAAGCCTTCCTAACAGGGAGGGTGAAAACGGTGGATGAAAATGAATCTTCCATCTGAAGATCCTTGCACCACAGTCATTCTCTAAGGAAGTTCAATGCTCATTAGCGCTGAAGACCCTAGGTTCTTTTACTGTATTTTTATACTATTTTATTTCAATAGTAAGAAATATTGCCCTTACCAATGTGGTGATAGGCCCCTGAATTTTCCAGATTGGCAGGTTTCACCAATCATGTTCCCAACGGTTGCTAAATGGCCCCTCACTCAGTGCTGAGTGCATCCCGTCTCCGGTGCTTTGATGTGTTGGCCTGCAGAGGCTCGCTTGTGTGCTCCACTTGCCTTCTCTTGCCTCTTACATAATAAGACTCCTCTCTGCTTAGTTTTATTTTTAATCAGGAAGAGCGATGTTTCAATCCATTGTGCGTAGGCTTGAAATTTTTTCTTTAGTATGTTTATTAGCTAGAGCCTTTGTGGTGGCTAACTTCAGAGAAATGTTGCCCTCCTGGCTCATTAATTATTTCTCTTGTAGGTGAGGCATTTTTCATACCTCTCTACTCTTCAAACTCAGTTGCATAACAATACATCCTGCTCAGCAAACTTCAGATTCCCATGGGTGGCCTAGAATATCACTATAAAGGAATATCATTAAGGCTGGAACACTGGTTGGGTGATTAGAAATGGATGGAATATTAGATCACACGGATCCTAAACTTGTCAAAGAAGAAAATAAAGGGTGTGGTGCCTCCTAGGTCTCTGTTCTGACTTCTGGACCATCTCTGAGTTGGAAGAACAAGGACCCATCCCCGCTGATCCAGGAAAGCTTTCTTCAGGACATAACTAGAAAATACCTCTGAAATCCCCTGACAGATTCTTCCCCACACCTGCTTATCCTTGTTGTGGTTAAAGAGGAATTGCTGAAACAAAGTATTTCAGTATTTCCAAAGATCAGAAGTATTTTTTCTCAGAGCTGTCGCTAATCCTTTATAAGCTGCTGTGATTTTTTTTATTTATCAACATTAATACCTTTTCTAATACACGTTAGATACAATGTGCCACAAAGCTCTTATCTACACAACAGTGAGGAGAAGGGGGAGCTGGTGATTTTCTGGAGAATTTAGACTTTGATTTCAAACAATTCTGGCTTCCTTGCATCTACCAATCCGTACCCCAAATTTGATCAGCTTGGCTGTGTTTTGGTAAAAGTTTATCAGAGTCATTACTGGCTACTGATGATCTTTAAATCAGATGGGTGGTGATGGGTGAGAATGTGACTTTGCTACTTTGACTTCTCAGTCAGCCTTGGGGAGTGGGGGGACTGGGGCATGCCTTTTGCTTAGAGATGCTCAGGGACAGCGAGCCCTAACCTGAATTTTCTCTTCTCTTCAACTAACTCTGCAAAGAACTGAGAAATGCAGGAATTTTTCCAAGAACAAATCTCAGTTGTGTTTTTAATGGGAGAGAAAGTAAAAGGTAAATGGCACGAGAAGGGCATGCCCTCTGACAAGAACACTATTCCAGAGCCCCCGTTGCAACAATCCTCTGATGGCACAAATTTGCGTAAGGATGGTCTTATTTGTTGTCTGATCCGGGGGCCTTGCTGCTAAAAGAGCCAGAAGGAAATCACATTTAATGCTACATATAATCATTACATTATAATGGTATAATAGAAAAAGCATGGGCTTTGGAATCACACAGTCTTCTCTGGGAAACACCTTAGGTTTCTGAGACTTTCTTAGTCTTTCTGTGACTCCCTTTATTTGTCTGTAAAATGGGAATGATAAGTAGATGGAACTTCAAGGGTTGCTTGAGAATTAAATAAGTACATATATCGCCTAGCATAGTGCCTGGCACATTGTATGTGCCAATAAATTTTAATTTTCCTCCCCATCCTCTCATCTATGGTACAGTCAAGTTAGAGTTAAGATATAACATATGTGAATGAATAATTTGAGAGAAATTTCAGATTACATAAGAGAAACCAAGCCAAAAGACATGTATGTGGCTCCCATAGGTTTTCATAAGACTTCTTCTCCTTTATACAGCCACATCTTAGTGACTCAATTCATGGATTATCTAGTCATTAAATACTTATTGAGCACACACTCTATGGCAAGTGTCACCCTGAAGGTAGGGGCAAGGGGCAGTTTGAGGCAGGGAAGCAATGGAAATATAAAGATATTAATACAAAAAACAGCATCCCTTTGAATTCAGGAGACAAGAAAAGACATGTGAACAATTTATTGCTGCTTGTATGAGATAAAGTAGTGGATACAATGAGTTCTGTAGATGAAACCAAGTTCTGTCAATAAGTCGGCCTTTCAAACTTTCCATTGCTTTGTAATATCTCCTTGGATTCAGCTGGTCTGGATTTGAACCCTGGCTCTAACTAGCAGCATGATCTTGGACAATTCCCTTCCCTTCCCAAGACAATTCCCTTCCCTTCCCAAGGCATTTCTCCACTTGAATAATGGGAATAATAACTCTCCGTATAAGGATTTAAAAAGATAACATATGTCTAGCACAGTCAACCATAGGAGTTACCCAATTCATGATCACTTTTCAAAGGAGACAAAATACTGGGGGAGGGGAGGAGAGGAAATCCTGAGGCCATTTTATGCCTTGGTATCAAATCCAACAAAAAGGAAGGAAGAAGTTGCAGACTAATGACTGTAATGAACTCTGGGGATTAGTCCTTGATTTTAATTATCCATGCTATTGCTATCCCCTGTCACCACAGATCATCAAGAAGCATGAATCAGCACCTGGCATAGCAACATCCCGAGCGAGGTAATGCCGGTTCATGTTTTTCTTCCTCATTAGATGATAAATAAAGCAACTTCTTCTTTTTTTTGTTTCAGTGACAAAATGTTCCCAGCCTTTGGGTTCGGTGCCAGGATACCCCCAGAGTACACGGTGAGTGAGTAGCGATGCTTTGCTATAGCCAGAGGATAATTTGAGTTTCCTTCCCAGGAGTCTCACTCCTTCGGCCCTTGATATAATTATGTAAGTAGGGCCCAAAGACTCAGAAATGGTCTTCAGAACCAATGAGATCAGGTCCTCAGAGCCTGTCTTTTGATGAAACCCAATCTCCTGATATTCTGAATGGTTCTTCTGAGAGGTCCAAATTTCACTGCTTAGCTGCTTATAGATATGGTCAGAAACTGAGAAAACACTCAGGAAGTTGATCTTCAGTGGTTCAGAACTTATCTATTCAGCTATCCCCTAGAGAAAGATCTTATTGACAATACCAACCGTGGAAGTCCACGACAATGAAGTCTACAGAGTCCCTCATCTCAGTTCTCTGAGCACCAGTCTTGTGTGAGAGACACAGAGAAAGTCCTAAACAGAACAACTCTGGCTTAGAGAAGTGAGAAGCTAAAAGCTTCCTATGACGACATTGGAATCCTATTTGTTTTTGATACTTATTTCCATGACACAAAGAAGGCAAGGCTCGTGCAGAGAGAGATTTGCACTGCAGTGGAGCCGAGGCCCCCTCGTGTGGTATACCAGGTGCTCCCGCAGGACACTCCCCAGAGAGCTCAGCTCTCCAGGTGGGAGGGCCTCGAAGGGACAGCGTGGTTCCTGTCCCAGCTTCACCAAGGCCTCTGAGGTCTGAGTTAAGTGCAGGCAACACTGTCCGATCATCAACTTCTCTTTTACTGGCTGTGTGTGAGTTGCAGAGCAGGAGACAGATGCTGACATTTACTCCCACACCAGAGCTGTCAGACCAAGGGCCTTCCCCTTCTGTGCCCCTTTTGAAAGAAAGAAGCCATCTCCCTGTGACCACTGAGAGCGCAGTGGACAGAGTGGCATGTCCCCCGACCTGTCCTCACCTGCCTTCTGTTCCACACTGGCCTCCCTGCTGGGCATGCCTACAGAATTCTAGAAGCATTTGTTGGAAATCAGCGCATGGGGAGGAAGAATATAGAACAGGAGTTGCTGACTGGTGGCCTGATGACATTATTTGGGCCATAAATGTATTATAGTTGACACACAAATTATTTTTAAGATTTAGGCAATTTCATATGAAATGTCAGATTTCTGGATTCTTTGGAAACACTAAAAGGCCTGGCAACACTAAGATTAAGATTACACAACAAGAATTAGCCAGAGCTGAGGAAATGAAGTCCCCTTCAGGTGGGGTACCGGCTCTGGGGTGTGGTCAGGAGGGTGTTGAGCTGTTGCGCCTCGAGACTGGAATGCACACCAACAACCACCAGTCCCCCTACCCAGAGATGCTTGAGTGTCCCCCACCGTGTCCCCGCCAGCTTGGCCCAGCAGGGCTGAGGACACCGTGTCCCAGGCCTGCCTTTTCTCACCCATGACATCTGCCTGGTCCCCCTCCTAGCCTAACTCATCCTTCTCGATGTTTTCCGATGTCCTCACGCTCACCGGCTCCCCTGGCTCTGCCCTGCCTGTCAGCCAGCTTGTTCTTCCTGCTGTCCTAACAGGCTTCCCTCATATCTCCTCACTCTGCTCCCCAAAAAGCTACTCAGATACCTCCTTTTCAGGCCTTAACTTCCCTCTGCCCCAAACAGGCACTGGTGATCTCAGCAGCTCAGGTGCCCCCAGCAAGTTCACAAGGTCACCGAGATTTACTTCTTTAGGATAAAATCCCAGAGCTTGCCTTGAAACTGAGCCACAGGCACCTCTGTCTTAGGTTATGCTCTCCCTAGAACAGACGTTGAGACAGGATTTGGATGCTAGTAGTTTATTTGAGACCTGGGGGAAACCACAATAGAGAGTGGGGAACTGAAAGGAAGTCGACATAGGGCATCCTAACAAGTCAGTTACTGCTGTGGACAGCAGAGCTCAATCCTGCTGGGGACCCTGGAAGGCGGTGTGGAGCACACACAGACCCCAAGGATCAGAGGGCTGGGCACTGATCCACCATCTCTTGTCAGCCACTGGGGAAGAGATGCTCCCAAGCCACATTAATACCCCAACATCTTCAGCCTGTCACTGGGGCAGGCAAAAGCAGGCTCCAGAGACCCGAGAAAAACTTAAGGTAAATAAGGCACATACAGTGGGTGGAAGTCAGCCGACTTGCCTGGAAGACCTAAGGGCAGGAGGATGTGGACCAGGCACCAACAGCATTGGCTCTGACCTCCGTCCAAGAGAAGAGGGGTCTTTTAACACAATGACTACTTTTAGCCCCCAAGAGAGTCAGGGCTTGAATATAACATGTGAAATGGAAGTCTCTGTAAAATCCCACATGATCCCATAGTGTCCAGGTGCCAGGACATCTTTCCTGTTCTATCAGATTTTAGAATGAAGTAAACATGTTATTTGACCTTGTGAGCGGTCCTGCCAGCTAGAGAAATTTGTGTTGGATATTACAAGGTACATGATTTTAGCACTTTTCCAAAAGTAGAGTCTATTTTACCTGCATACTCATGAAAATCCTGCTGTCCCATAGCTCTGCATAGTATGTTTGAATGAGTCTTAATGTCAACAGCTTAGCGGGAGCTGTTATAACCATCACCACGTGGAGCGGACATGGTGACGAGTTACCACTTTTTTATCACTGGATCCAAGCAGAGCTCAGCCCAATCTAAGCCTCCAGTCTGCGGCCAGTTCTTTCTAGTGTTACATTTTTCTGAAATCTCATCTTGTATTTTTTTATATACGTTATTCGCCCCTCCTGCCAGCATTTAGCTGATTCTAGAAAATTTCCCTGTCACATCAGCTCCACAAGGAGCTTAGAATTCACCCTCCACCTCAGACTGATTGTAGGAAGGTTAAAATGCTCCCTGCTGCTGAACTCCGAGTGAATATAATGGGCATTTGTTTGCATGCTCTTCAACCGAGGGCCTCCTTCCTGGCTTAAAGTTCTAATTCTCCTTCCTTCCTTTTTGCAATCTTAATTGGCGTCTAGGTCTCTCATGACTTCGCAATCAACTTTAACGAAGACAACCCAGAATGTGCAGGTAAATTCCAAGGTGAACGAAAGCCAGCGTCTCACAACCCTTTTGTTCGCACATTTCCCAGTTTAGTTTCTCTCCTCGGATGCAGTCTAGCGGTTATGATTGTCCAGAGCACAGAAGTAGGCTGTCTGGATCCGAATGGACTGTGCCACTCCAAAGGCAACGGAGAGCCATAATGACAGCAGAAAACTAAGAGCTGGAAGAGACAGAATGCAGAGGAGGCCCTGAGTTTGCAGCGAGAATGTTAATCCCCATTCTGGATTCCTCCGGCCAAAAAAAAAAATAGGGGGGGATTTCACCTGATGGGCTGCGATGACGCCCTCTTTCTGCTCTCCTACTGTCCCCCAAGTGCTGATTTTCCACAGCTTCCTCTCTGAGAAGGAATAAGTAGGGGGTGGGGAGAGGACATGGAAATCATTTGACACGTTCAACATGTTGGTAAGGATACGGCCTCAGTGACTTCCAACAAGTAGCTTCATGGTTTTGTGCCAGAAACAGGCTTCTCAAAGGCTTTGGTCCATGCTCCATTATTTCCAGCTAGAAGTCCCCCAACACAGTTCCACAAGATAGTGATGATGACAGCTATGGTAATACATTTTATCCTAGAATTCCTTTTTCTGCTTTCTAAGTAACAAATAGAGCCAAGTACACCAGTTGCTATGAAGCTTGTAAGATATTTTTATAGTGAAATAGAAATGGCCGTGTCTCTCTCCCCCTTCTTGTCAAGGAAGAAGAGAGCTGAACCAGGGTTAATTCAGATCCAGTGAGGTCTGCGCAGCATCCAGCAGTTTCTTTCACCAATTCGGCACTTAACGTCCAAGAACATGACATCAGTATCATTGGGTCTGCACATAGTAACCTCTGAGACCCGATCTCCATTCTGCCACTATTCCTTCTCATGATCCCTCACCCGAAATTTATTATGGTTTAGAGGTCAGTCATCCCTAACCACCCCCATTCTGAAGCTGTAAGAATGGTCTTTCGCCAAAGCAGCACAAAGTACATGCCCAGTATTCACCTGTTTCTCACTCTTAGAATTCCTCTGCCTGTTTCTTTTAGAGAAATCCAACCCGCTTATCTTAGGCAAAAACTCAAGAGTTAAAATAGGTAAAGAGCATCTGTTGAGTGTCACTTAACTTCACAGCCAAGCTGCAAAACGCTCTAACATCTGTCTTCAGACCGACAGGCTTTGGGCAGGGCAACGAGGCTGCAAGCATGGGTATAAGGCCAGAACACACAGCTTGCTTATCCACGATCCCCAAGGTCTGGTCTGCAGTGCACGGTGGATGTGAAAAACCATTTCAGGACGGGCTTCTGTGGATCCCTCTGGCCAAAATCAGGCCCCGTGTGCTGTTTCAGGATAGAAAGGGATGGGGGGGGTGGTGAGCTAAAGCAGGGAAAGGCAAGAGCTAACACAGGCACAGACACCAAGAGGAGCCACTTGAATAAAATTCTTCGTAATGGGACTCTTGTGGAATCATGGGTATAACATTAAATGTGCCGTCAAGGCTCATAAAATGCTAAGAGAAGCTATACGACCAGGGTTGTCCCTTCCAGCAGAGTGCCACCCTTTACTATTTCCTTGGCTCCCACGGCCTCGGTGGAAACCGCCTTTAAATGAGAGGTTGACCGTAATGATGAACATCATTCCCCTGTACTGCAGTCCCCAGCAGACGATCGTGCCCCGTTTCGCTCATTCATTACACACTTGGTGTGCCCCACCTGCCTCGGGACCTTTGAGGGAAGGAGTCACAATTCCTGCCCACAGGGACTTGAGCATCTGGAACGATGGTCGTGTGTACATGGACATTAACTCCTATAAGTGGACGTGGGTGGTATATACTACAATAGAGTCAACAAGGTGGTGTGAAAACCAGAGAAGCACTAAAGCTGACTTGCCCAATGGCTGAGAGCACAGCCCTCAGAGCCGGACAGACATGGGCTTTAATCCTGAGTCTGCAGTTCATTTTGCTGTGTGACCTGGAGTAGATGATGTAACCTCTTGAAGCCTCAGTTTCTTCGTCTGTGAAATGGGTATCGCATCTGTTTCATTACCCTATGAGAGCCTGATGAAATCTTATGTGTAAAGCAGGATATTAGGGTCCAGCTGGTGTGGCTCAGTGGTTGAGCGCCAACCTAGGAACCAAAAGGTCCTGGTTCGATTCCTGGTCAGGGCACATGCCGAGGTTGCAGGCTTGATCCTCAGCAGGGGGCGTGCAGGAGGCAGCCGATCAATGATGGTTCTCTCTCACTGATGTTTCTCTCTATCCCTCTCCCTTCCTCGCTCTCTAAAAATCAATAAAAACACATTTTAAAAATTAAAAAAAATAAAGTGGGATCTTAGGGAAAAGTTTATGGAAAGTATGGCTTATGATGGAAGCTGTTAAAGAGAATAATGATTTCCGGGGGGTGGGTAGAGGCAATAGTGTAGTACTTTTTATCTTAAGAACATAAATGTGATGATAAGAACATTTGAGGAATTTAATGCTTTATTTGTATGTATGTTTGATTTTAATTGTATTTGAGGGGACTACTGACCTATTGATCTTTGCCAATTTCACCTCAGGAATTCAAGGAGTTGTGGAAGCCTATCAGAGCTGCCTCCCTAAGCTCCAGCTCTATGGTCCCACCAACATCGCCCCCATCATTCAGAAGGTCGCCAAGTCAGCATCGGAGGAGACTAACACCAAGGAGGCCTCGGTAAGGAGAGGGACGGTTTGCCTGCTGTGTGATGACCCTTTCTCACCTGGACATTGGCCATAGCACCCATCCCATTCTGACAATAAATTACAGCATCCTTACTTGTGTGAGTTTGGACAAGTGACTTAACCTTCTCTTGTCCTCAGTCTCCTCGTCCAAAAATTGGGGATAATCATACCTATCTCTGCTGGGTTATTGTGAGGCTCAGAGATGACACATCTCAAATGTCTGCAACATTAGCTGGCCAGAGGGGACACTCAACAGTGGAATTTACTTTATTCACTGGAGTATAAAGCATACCCACATTATGTTCCTAGGAAGAAAAAAAAAACTACCCAAAATAAACTTACTTTCCAATGTACCCATATTTTAGATGAAAGAGAAGCAAAATAATAGATGCTTCTGTCCCCTGGTGGTCAAGTGCAGCAATACAAACCATAGCAAAGATTTGTTTTATACTCTCTTTGTGATTTTCTTAAGAAAAATGCAAACCAATGTTTTGCATACTCACAACCATAAAGCTACTTTTGCCCTCCCCTGTATCTTACCATAACAACTTGTCTATGTATCACTTTTAATGACATCAATATATTTCTTTTTTAGATTGATGACTTCTTTCAGATTTAGAACATTGCTAATGCCTGAAGTTGTCTCTGATTTTGTCCTGAGTCCTAAGATACTGCATTGGCATGAAGAAAATAATGTAGTGCTCCCTCATCTTCTTACATCAACTTATCTAACCTAGTTATGCTGTGCCATGTTCTCAGCCCTCCCTCATGATAGAACGGATGGGGGACCAGCCTCTTCTCTCGTATACTGGGGTCCATCTCCTCTCAGTTACCCAACAGCATAGACGTAGTAGCTACTACATCTCCTCAATTTTTCCCCCTTTCTGCTGAAGGCTCATTTTTATTAGCAAATAAAACATCCTATCATATCTCCCGTTTAAGTTAAAAGCTCTCCCTTGACATCACTTACCCTAGCTACTGTTCCTTCTTTCACCTCCCTTTAGAGCAAAAGTCATTTAAAAATTTGCCTATACTCACTGTCTCCATCTCCTCGCATTGGTTCCTCCACCTGTACCAGTCAGACTTTCCTCCCCAACATTCTCCTGAAAACTGCACTTGTCAAAAGCAACAATATCTCCATCTTGCCAAACCCACAGAGGCCTTGCAGCAAATTCGAATCCTCACAGATGCAAGATTCGGAGATACGTGTTGGACAGATCAGTATTTCATTTTATTTTTTTTATCACTTCTTTACCATCAGAACTTCAAATTCAAATTCTTCAAATGATATGTTACTCAGAAACCCAACATATAAAATAGGTTTTAAGAAAAACAGACTGTTCTTGCTCAATCTGGACTAAGAGATGGAGCCTAAACTTGTCTATTCCCTTTTCCCTCTTGCATCCCCAAGAGCATCCAAGGCATCCCCAGGGCTCCTCAGAGCCCAGATTGAAAACAAAAGTCATCTCAGTCCCTCTGGAGTACCAGGAGCTAGAAGAGTGAAAACAGAACGGAGCTGGAGCTGACATAGATCTGGACTTAGGCCTGATATAAGCCAGCATGAGTTTTTGCCCCTCACTCCCCCAGGGACAGGTATTCTGCTCTGTAAGGACAGGTCAGGAAACGGTGCAAGTGTCTATCCACATATCCCCAAATAAATGGCCCTCGTAGTCCAGGAACTATGATCCTTCTCCCCAGAGCTTTCTCCTGTTCTTTAAACAATGTGTGGTCCAGGACTCCTTGTTATCACCGATTACTAAGAGTCTTAAACTTGAACCTCTTAGGCAAGTTGTGCCAGGGAGTTGGGCTGTAGGATCTTCTCCTTGATTTTGTGAAATTCTTCTAGAAAGAAAGAAAAAGTCTCCTTCATATCTGAACAGGACCTCATGTACATTCAAAAATTAATATGTCACCCATGAGCATTTTTCTAGCCTGGCTTTGGAAGCAACTGTTACCAAAGCTTTATTGGAAATTTCCATCAGGGTTTTGCGCCAGCAGTCTGCTGCCTAGTGCCTTTAGCTAGATTAGCCCTGGATCAGATCCTAGGATCCTGAGGATCTCTTCAGATCAGGGGCTCTTAACCTTTTTTATGAACCCCATTAGCAGCTGATGAAGCCCATGTGCCCCTTCTCAGAAATATTTTTAAATGTACAAAATAATCTCACTTTAGCATGGACTCCATATAAAAAATTATCAATAAAATATTTTACACTTTTTATATTAAGTCTTCAAATCCCAGGGTGTATTTTACACTTACATCACCTAATTTGGGTGCTAAGTTATCATCACAAATACTTGATCTTATTTAGACTTTATAAATTGATAGTTGAGAAAGTACATTCACATACTTGAGTTATTTCAAACATACTTGAAAGCCTTCCAATAACTGAATCGAGTACCCATGTTTAAAGTTGAATTTAAATTCATTAAAATGAAATAAAATTTAAAATTCAGTTCCTCCATCACTCTAGCCACATTTCAAGGGCTCGGCAGTCACGTGGAGCTCGTAGGTATTGTAGTGGGCAGCGTGGCTTTAGACTCAAAAATCTCCTAGCTGAAGAGACTCATACAAATGATCTAGTCCCACCCTTCACCTGAGAGAGGAAGCTGAGACCCAGAGGAGTTCAGGGATTTTCCCAGGATCTCAGAAAATGAGGCTTTGACGCCAATCCTCCTGACTCCTCCTGGGGCTCTGTCGACCAAACTGTGCTTCATAACAGTCACTAAGGTGATTGTTAGAATTACCCTACAGTTACTGTGCCTGCCTTGAGACCCACTCATCATAAGCTTGCTTTTAGGGCTGTCTGCAGACACTCCAAAGTCTGTTATCACTATTGCTGTAGCCTGTATGCACTGAAGCCGCCAGGGTGTGTAACTGGTATTGCCCTTGTCTCCCCCTCCCCGCCCCCCTCTGTCCCCGTCGTTGCCTGGCGTCTGATCCATTGCAGCAATACTTCATCCTGCTGATCCTGACCGACGGTGTCATCACAGACATGGCTGACACCCGGGAGGCCATCGTCCATGCCTCCCACCTCCCCATGTCGGTCATCATCGTGGGAGTGGGCAACGCCGACTTCAGCGACATGCAGATGCTGGACGGTGATGACGGGATCCTGAGGTCACCCAAAGGAGAGCCTGTCCTTCGAGACATCGTTCAGTTCGTGCCCTTCAGGAACTTCAAACATGTACGCATATCTCGGGGACTGGCCCCGGGAGGGCAGGGCCAAAGCAAACTCCCTCCCTGTGTGTCCACCAGCCTGTAGCGAAGCAGTGCCAGCCACCCCTGCCAGGCCAGGCCACCTGCCCCACAGCATGTGGAGAGCTTGGCTCTGTGGAGATCAAAGTGTAGCTTGAATGCGAGGTGAGAAGTCACGCCCGCCATGGTAGCTGACATTTCACCGGTCGTCGTCCGTATAGCTTAGGACCCCGGCGCCCTCGGCGCTGCGCGTGCAGGTGGGCAGGGTGCTCCCTGCGCCAGGGCCCAGCCAGCGAGGCAGGGGCCGCTTGAACTCAGCCTGGGTCCTGCCTGTCCAGCCCGTGCCCTGGCAGAGGCCCGTGTTTGCCTGGGCAAAGTGTAGTTCCAAAATGATAGAAACCTAAGCCCTCTATAAAGGTAGTCAGCAGCATCAAAGATTTATGTAACTCGTTAAGGCGGGAACCAGTAAGATGCCAAAGGTAGTTCAAAGGAGGGTATAAAACAGTTGCTTGTGGTCAGTGGGGAAGAGGCCGCAGGAAGTTTACTGGGGCAGATTCAAAACTAGGTAGTGACCAAAGGGGTTAAAAATAAATAGATAGACTGGAGGACCATCTCTGCTGGGCAGAAATCTTCTCAGTTTTCTACAAGTTACCCTCTAGCTTTACAGTCTTGCTCTCTAGTCAATAATAAATAAGCAACGTTACCCTCCCCTCATACCCAAATGCAGGCTCATTAGACTACGCTCTAGTATGACATCGAAAAGTGCTCAATAACAACTTTATTGCATCTCCAAATGTTGGATTATTATTGGCTCCATGAAGAAGGGGCACCTTTAAAATTCCAACAACAGCCTGCACCTATGGGCTGCAATTGCCCAGAAGGACGCTTCTGATTCATCCAAAGGCTCCCTCGGCGCTGGTGACCCTGCAGAACCCTTCAGAGCCTCCTGAGCTGTGTGTGGGCGTCCTCGAAGGTCATGCGGGCTGTCACACAGTCCTCTGTGACCTTTGGTTCCCTGCCCCTAGTGAAAGTCACTCACGAGCAGAGCACACTCCCCTCCTCCTGCGGCTTGGCCCTCTCGGCTGCTGACGGGCCCAGCAGTACCACTCCCAGTGGTTGGTAACGGAAGGTGGGCTGCCCCCGCAGGAGGGAATCCCCAGGATGCTCAGCGCCCTGAAGCAGCTCTGCAGTCCCCTTGGCAATGATGAGAGTCCCCCCATCCCTGCTGCAGTGACCCCTGTCACCTAGACCATCCATGCAGTTAAGTCTGTGTCCCCACATCTTCAGGATCCCTGCTGGAAACATCTTCTTTAGCTTCCACTGCAGCTCCTCCACCTTCAGGGCCGAGGTCAGGTATTCAGGGGCCCAGAGAGGAAGAGACAGGCACCACGCCATCCACAAGCTCCACGCCATCCGCTCCAAGCCTCCCCTCCTGATGCTGTTCTGGAAAAGCCTATCTGCTCCGGCCCAAACCCCTCATTCAAGTGAGCCCTTGGCAGTGTCCTAGCCAGTTTATCGGATATGTCCAGGGGCATGGAAATCCCACTTTGAGCCCACCCTGGGACCCCAGCTACACTGGGTAAGGTAAATATAGGGGGTGGAAGGATGGATGGACCATTGTTTATGTAGACACATCCCAGTGCCAGCGTCAGGGCCTTTGGCCTGTGCTTGTTAAAAATGCCATTTGTTCCGCTGCCTGCTTGGGACAGGCGTTACAGCCGGCGTTCAGGTAAATCACAGCCCGGCGGCTCCACTGGACCCTAGATCTCATGAATTGGCAGGACTGCACGGGGAGGTCACTGCGCACTCCAGGGCTCCTCCAAAGATGAGGCATAGCTCAGAAATCTAGCACCACACAACTCTGGTGCTCCTCTTAAGGCTACAGTGTTATTAGAATCACTGAAGGAGCACAATGTCAGTCCTTGACCACAGAGCTGAGTGCAGATTCCAAGTACCAGCAGCAACAGCCAAGCCCCCTACGGGCTCACAGGCAGGGAGCGTGGGTGAGGGTGAGGGGAGGGAGCGTGGGTGGGGGTGAGGGCAGGGAGCGTGGGTGAGGGTGAGGGCAGGGAGCGTGGGGGAAGGGGAGGGCAGGGAACGC